CTTGGTGTCATCAAGGATAGTTCTCTAAAAACATTTGCTCAATGAGCAGTGGCAATCAAAAAAGCTAACAGAATGTTAGGAATCATTAGGGAAGTAAAAACATTGTAATATCATTATATAAAACCATGGTATGCCCACACATTATATGCTGCATGAAGTTCTGGTCCCCCCATCTCAAAAAAGATATATCAAAATTGGAAAAAGTACAGAAAAGAACAACAAATGTGATTATGGTATGAAACAGCTTCCATATGAGGAAGGATTAAAAAAACTGATACTGTTCAGTTTGGAAAAGAGACGACTGAGGGGGGATATGATGGAGATCTATAAAATTGTGACTGGTATGGAGAAAGTGAATAAGGAAGTGTTATTTACCCCTTCACATAACACATGAACCAGGGGTCACCCAATGAAATTAATAGGCAGTTGGTTTAAAACTAACATAAGGAAGTACTTTTTCACACAACACACAGTCAACCTATCAAACTAGTTGCCAAGGGATGCTGTAAAGGCCAAAACTATAATTGGGTTTGAAAAAGTATTAGATAAGTTCATGGAGGATAGGTCAATCAATGGCTATTAATTAAGATGGTCAGGGACACCACTCCATGCTCTGGGTGTTCCTAAACTTTTGACTGATAGAAGCTGGGACTGGATGACAGGGCATGGATCACTTGATAAATTGCCATGTTCTGCTCACTCCCGCTGAAGCATCTGGCACCGGCCACTGCTGGAAGACAGGAATCTCGGCTAGATGGACCATAGGTGTCACCCACTATGACCATTCTCATGTTCTTAAGTCTCAAGCTTCAAAAATGTGATACAAGGTTTAGAAAACTTGGTGTATGAGGAAAGGTTTAAAAACAAACAAACTGGGCATGTCTTGAGAAAAGAAGACTGAGGTAGGACTTGATAACAGCCCTTAACATATTTGAAGACTGTTAGTGAGAGGACAATGAGCAATTGTTCTCCATGTCCACTGAAGGTAGGACAAGAAGTAATGAGCTTTATCTGCAGCAAGGGAGATTTAGGTTAGATATTAGGAAAAACTTTCTAACTATAAGGATAGTTAAACACTGGAACAGGCTTCCAAGGGAGGTTGTGGAATCCCCATCATTGGAGGTTTTCTGAACAGATTAGACAGATTCTTGTCAGGCATGGACTAGGTACACTTGGTCCCGCCTCAGCACAAGTGGCTGGAGTAGATGACCTCTTGAGATCCCTTCAAACCCTACATTTCTATGATTCTGTGCTTCTGTGCATGAGTTGATTGCCTTAGAGGTCAGGAAGGAGTTTATCCCTCTATAAATATCATAGTATAATGTGCTAAGTGAATGATAAATGTTCATCTTCCTCAGAAGTATAAGCAGTTGGCCACCACTGGAAACAACGTATTTCACTGGATGGACCCATGTTTAGAACAAATAGGATACATCCTATATACAAAGCTTTAGGAGATTGCTTGCTTCTCTAGTGTAAAAATGCTATGGGTGTGCATCTTAAAACCAAGACCCCACTGGTATAATTGTAGAGGAGACAAAATCCTTTTTTGTGAGCTAGGCAGGGCTTCTAGACGGCAGAGAAGTAAAAAGGAGTGTGCTATTGCTACAGGGTAATGTGGTATCTCTCTTTCTGCTGTGGTTTGTTAAGTCCAGTAATTCTGTAAAGTTACAAAACAGCCTTTCAACAGCATTTATGAAAGTATGTACAAGAGCTGCAGAGAAATGAAACAAACTTTTATATCCATTGAAGGTAGGGAAACTCCAATAAATACTGAGCAAAGAATGTCTCTGTTACAAGAACATCTTAAATAAACAGTTTACTAACACTGACTCAACATCACAGGGAATTCAGTGACCTAGCCTGGCAGTGCGTAAACTGTGATGGTGTTTGATTCTGACTGTATCCTGTCCCCAAAACATTGCTCTTTCCCTCTGAAGAAGGACTGCTAGAAGCTGGGAGTGGACAACAGGGCATCACTAGATAAATTTCACTCCCTCTGAAGAAGGGAAAGAGGTTTTTCATATGAAATATGTAACAAGAGAGTATGAGGTGGCAACTCTCCCGCTTCATTTAATTAGAAAGTACCATGATGGGAGCTATAGAAAACCCTAAGGTAGTTATAGAATGACAGAATCTGCATAGAAAGCTCTTGTGCTGTAACCAATTATGTGAAGGGAAACGTACTAATGCTAATAAAATGCAGACTGTGTACTTACACAGACTACATGTAGATACCCTCGTTATAGATTGGCACAGTATCTAACATAATGCCTCTCCCTTACCTCTTCCTCCCCTCCCCCCCAAAAAAAGAAAAAGAAAAAATAACCAGGTTTACATGATTATACCTTCATTTAATGCCTTTCTAATTAAGGTATGTCCCTCTAAATTAATTCCAATTGAGTGGTACAGCTGGTAAGGAGAGATGTTAGGGTAATTCTTCACCTGTCTCTTGGAAGAGAATCACTATTCTGATATCCCTCTTTGTGGGGAATGGAATGGAGAAACAAGGAATAATTAATGCAAGATGCCTGAACTGTAACTCGTTAGTCATAGGGCAGAGAAAAGGCACCTTAACATCAAAATAATGGTGCTATAGTCAGTTTCACAAAGGAAAGAAAAACTGGCATTTCCAGTCTGGTACTTAAACAATGTAAAGATGCAACTGTAACTCCTCCTTTCTGTTCCTTCCTTGATTTTATTTTATTTTTTTTAGCTTGGGTGGATGGTGTAACATTTAACAGTTGACTGAATGTTAGTTGCAGAAGAATTTTAAATTCGAACACTTGGCAGTTGCACATAGCATTTCTCATCTGAGGATTGTGAAAGGCTTTACAAATGTGATTTTTAGATGGGTAAAGTGAATTGTCAATTGCAGTGAGTCCTGGCTGTTAGTATTCCCCCGTTCCCGCCACACAGTCACAGACTTGCAAGCAGATTGGGACTTTTGTATCTGGAAAATAACTAAAGATGGGGAAAGGGGGAGAAATGCATACTCATGTTCTTAGCCTGCTTATTTCAATGACACACTAGACTAGACTATATAAAGCAATGCGTAAAGTGTCTTTGCTGTCTTTTTCAGTGTACACAAAGCCATGTGATAGATCAAAAGTAATCAGTTTACACCTACAGATTTCTCCAGAAAATTTAGCAGAGAGCGAGAGAGGGTTAACTAGATGTCCTAAACAGATCTTTTCCACTTCTAACTTCTGAGTCCAATCATTGCTATAAGAACCCAACATATGATCGCCTGAAAGACTTATTACTGTGTGACATCACCAAAATCCTAATTTTTACATTGATATGGATACTTTGAACTCAGTTGTACACCCTAAAACATTACTGTGGCCCAGTGACAAGAGCAGGGAACCGTGAACCAGAACTACTGGAGGCATTCCCATCCCGGAAATGAATTTCACATATAGGGGCAAGTCACAATTTCCGTGCCTCAGTTTCCCAAATGTAAAATACAGATGATAATCCTTGCTCACAGGGATGTTGGAGATTTAACTAATGTGTGTAAGGCACTTTGTGATCCTTGGATGAAATGTGCTGTAGAAATGTATATTGTATCATCATGTATTTCTGTTCCCAAAATTTGAATGACCAGAAATGCAGCTGAAATGGCTTAGCATATTGATAGTATTAAAATTGTCTCCTACAGTCAAGAAGAGGATGATGAGACACCATCACGATACTACGTTCCCAGTTATGAGGAGGTTATGAACGAGGGCTATCCTGAGACGAGAGAATTGGACAGAAACACCAGGATCAGCATGTCTCTGCCCTCTTACGAATCTCTAACTGGGATTGATGAAAATACACCAACTACAACCACCGCAGATGTCGATTCGAACATACAGCGTGAGCCAAGCAGGCACAGCTCTCGCTTGAACAAACGACTGAAACCCCTGAAAGTTCGGAGAATTAAGTCTGATAAGCTGCACCTAAAGGAATTCCGAATAAACCTTCCAGACAGAAACAGTTCAGGTCAAATAACAATAGAACCATTGACCCCTCCTCCCCAGTATGATGAGGTCCCAGATAAAGCACCAGATAGCAAGGAAGCGACCTAAAATCTGTGGACTTTCCAGGGGAAAACACTACTAGATACTTGATCTATGGGTACAAATGCAGTCAAATTCCTACAAGCTTCAAAAAGATCAAGGAAATGCTGGACTATATACCTCTTTTTCAGAAGGACAGAATGATTCCAAGACACGGCTTTTCATGAAATACCACTAAAAATTAAACACTAGTGCATCTGATACTCTGAAATAAATGATCTTCACAAGTATCAAATCTATACTTTTGTTTTAAATTACATAGTACATTGTATGCCTCTCTTGTAGTTCTTTTTTCTACACTATATTTTTTAAGCCACTAAATTGTTGTATTTTTTACCAATAATTTTAAAAGTAGAAAAGGAAAGGTAATTTTTTTTTTTTAGTTTCTCTTCTTCCAGGTAAGAAAAACCAAACAGTGTGGCTTTCGCCACTTCCATTAAAATGGAGTTGAGATAACTAAAGAAAGCAAGTCTGCATTTTGTAACACTTCAGTCATGCTGTGAAATCTCTTGAATGAAATGACAATTTTGAACCATCAGATTTGTTTAATCCTTTCAGCAGTACTCATGATGCCAGTGAGAAGCTTTCTAAGCACTGACAACCATTGAGGAGAAGATGGTTTTTGGTGTTCCAGTGTGAAGGGAGTGTGTGTTTAAGGTTAACTTGTAAATTCATTCAGTTGGCATCTACTCCATTGTGCCACTTCAAAAATGTTTAATGTTCTAAGTTAGCATTGAATATGCTGAGCAATTGGAGACTTTTTCTAAATAAATGTTTTGTGTGTATGTGTGTGTTGTAAATGGGAACAACGCAAATACTTTAATCAGGGGCTGTAAGAAATGTAGGGCAAAATGTTTTCTTTCCATTCTAGCTTGGGGAAATGGCAGTTTCAGCATCTTTGAAGCACACGATTTCTCTTCTGGATTTTTAGTAAGGCCACAAAGATTACAAAAGCATGCTCGCTCAAGCTGTGATGCCATATGAGGCATACCTGTATGGGTCAGAAGACAAACTTTTCTGAACTCACAGAGTAGAAGTCCTCAACGTGCAAATCACAAGCTTGATCCCTATGTCTCCGGCATGCTTAAGTGCACTTGCTCTGACATTTGGCAAGCCAAAAATCAGCCAGTTCCTCTGGTGCCTCTTCCTGGTAATGGTCTCCACTGTTTGGTGATGCAGCTGAGAAGAAACCACTTGCATTGATGAATGTGGTGATGTGATATAAGACAGAGAATATGACATTAAGAAGGCAGAATGCAATCAAAGAATGTGGATGGCCTGTATAAGACAATGCTATGCCCTAGTATGTATGATGCAAATACAACATAATCAATATTAAGTTTAATTATGTAACACTTGCAAGGTTAACAAATATCTCCTGTCACAGGACAATTTTGATGCTGGCTGCAAACTCCTTCAGGCACTCTTTGCTACACTAGACTCTATCTAATAGTAAAAATAATTTAGAAAAGAGGCTTATCTGCCAGCTTGGTGTTTGGAAAACATGTGAAGAACGCTTCAGAGATCACGCTACATATAGATGTGTTACTGAGGCATATTCTCTGTACCCAGAAGCTGGCCCCAGCAAGAGTGGAATGAGCCTTGCTCCTTGTCAGACATCAGTCTTTTTATAATATTTCACTGATTTGCAATGCCTACTATTCAGTGACCTCTATTCTGGAGTTGAATGGAGGAGGGAGTTGTCTCATTTTTGTTTCTGGTAGGGAAGACCCACTTGAACAAGATTTTAAAATATCCTATAGGGAAAAGCTGTCCCAGTACCCTATGTTCCTGTTTGCAAGCACATTCTGATTTGTTTATCACAGCACCTGTCCATATGCAGCTCTAAGAAGGCACAACTTTTGGAATCCTTGTCTGTGATTCAATCTTTCTAGTTTTCCACATTCACATGGAGAATAATAGAATGGGTGCTATTTTATTTATGCTAAGGGCCAAATCTTGCTGTATTGTACTTGAGCAAGCCCACTGAAGTCCAGATTTTGGCCCTTAGTTTAAACCCTCTGCTACTAGTTTCCAAAGGAGTAGTAATGTAAGAAATTGTTGGTACAATGAAGTGATTGAGAGAAACTTGTTGAACCTGATCCTTTTCCTTAAGGGGGCACCTTCCTTTCCAACCCAGGTCTCTAAAACAGATAATTACCCCTTGCCCATTCTAGCTTGATTTTTGGCAATTTCTAATCGAGGTTGGAGCACTATATCTTACTAAACTAAAATTGAGGAAGAGGAGGGACGTGTGCAGTAATGATTAAAGTTAAAGGCTAAGAAGGAGCAGCCCAGGTTCAAATTCCAGTTCAGTCAGTTAGTTGCTTGCTCTGTTGCTCTTTCGTGAAAAGGCAGATGATCTCTGGGAAAAATGAGAGAGTTTGAACTGCCCTTTTGCAGGGTCTATAAACTACCCCCAAAAAACGCAGACACTGTTTGAGGATAATCTGTTTCTTTGGCTGTGAAGCTACTTTGTGCCAAGTTTCAAGGCAGAGTCTCTTGACTACAAAGTAATCCTTCTTCAGCATAGTCTTGTCATTTTCTTCCTAAACTGGCGTTTTGGGTCTGACACTGTCTTAGTTTGTACCCTGATATAATTTTTTTTAATCCGCATCATAAGCAAGTCTCCCCCGCCTGCCCGCCGCCCTACTGTGGTGACTATCATAATTCCCTTTCTCTATATCAAAAGATTACCTAGGCACAGAGGGCTGAAACCTGCTCCCTGCAAGACTCAGTGGGAGTTCTTCCACTGGGAGCAGCATTGAGTCATTAAAGAAACAACCTCAGGGCTGTTGCTGAAGGAAACACCAGCTATGGGTTGGTGCTAGCAAATGGACAGAGTTGACTCAGATGTAAGATATACTAAATCTACATCATATATGGCACACCCATTTAATTTGGATACTTGCCAGGGAGAGCAGCTCCAAGGTAGTGCGTTTCAATTATTTTGAACAATGGATGGTAGTTATCTGTCTGCCTATTTCCAGCAACTATCACGTATGACTTGGGTGTTTGCTAGCAAAAAAAATCTCTGTTCACTTCCCAAATCTATTATGTCAGATTCGTCAGTTGTGCCTTAAGAAAGCATCTAAAATGTGTTAACGGATTAAAAAACAGAAATTAATGAAATACAGCAAATGAATATCAATCAGCAGTCAAATCTTTGTCCTAATTAGCATAGGTTACTGTCATTTATATGCTATGTTTCTGTTTTGGGTAGGTGTGCTAATTAAGATGATTATACTAAATCATTCTGCATAGTATTGGAGTAGTGGGACTCTACTACTCTAGCTTCACTTGGGAAATAACCTGGGGACCCCAGGCTGCAATAGCCAAGAAAAAAGGTAACAAAATCAAGCTTGGGTGAACATTCTTGTTCCACAACAGCCACTTGGATATGGTTCAGTATAGTGTATGAACTAGTGAATGGGTCACATTTTCTATGGAAGAATGAGACAAGAAGTCAAAATGAATTATGACTAAATCTCAAAAGGAAGTAGAACACCGCCCAAGAAACAAGATCTTAAGCTATGCTGTGCATATACAGGAAAAAAGGTATACATCATACGATTTTTCTGACTTTATATAAGCCCCACATATAAGCACATCAAGAATTCTGAGTCCGATTCAGACCTGCTTTATGGAAGTGCCCAGCCACGGAAGCCAATGGAGTTGCTCCTATTTATACCTGGGATCGTAATATACCAAATGGGTACAATACAAGATACTGAAAGACTGCATGTGTAGTACAACAAGAGTTCTGTTCCTCTTAATATCTGTACAAAGTGGTTGCAGAATTTTTCTTTGGTATTACATAAGTTACAAAGTTCGTTAACCAAACACAGAATTATGCTTCGTACCTGACCTTTATAGGTGAATACATCTGTGGTGGCTATAACCTCACCAGCTTACTGCACGCTTGAGTATTGCACCATTATGTCAGCTGGCTAGCTGCAACACCCATCACAAGTCCTGAAAGATGTGAGAAGTGGATATCGGTTTCTAGGTAATACAGTAAAACTCTCTTAATCCACAGTTCCTTCTTTGTCTAAATCTGTTCCCTGTTCCCTTCATTATCTGCAGGCCTCTGTGCTTTTTTAACCTCTATGCTATTTTTATCTCCTAAAACATTCTGGATGATAATGTTTGTAGCACAAAGGGAATATGTTTTCATAATTCAATTTTCAAACTCCATGTAAGGCATGTTTCTAGCAAGAACTTATCTTAAATGCTATTGCTATTAGCTTCTTGGCCAGCACAGACACAGCATTAAAGCAAGCAGATCTGAGCTGAGCTACAGTCTTCTGTTTTATTTTTTTTTTAAGCAGGAGTAAAATTACTGGACTTCATTGTAATCATTAAAAAAAATGTTCCAATCAAGAAATAGTATGGCTGTAAAAGGGAAAGAATGAGCTAGAGAGTTGAATCAACTTAGAACCAAAAATTTGGTTTTGTTTAAGAAGAGTTCTTTTTCTACTGGTCCTTAAGATAATTCAGTGGAAATAGCTTATATAAAGGAATACATAATACCATCTGACAGTATAATTTGGAAAAGTGAAACCAACTTTTCCTCCTTTGAACTGCAAAATTCAAAAAATGAAAATAGTGGAAATGTGAAATATATTTTTAAAGGTAACAGAGGGTCCTGTGGCACCTTTGAGACTAACAGAAGTACTGGGAGCATAAGCTTTCGTGGGTAAGAACCTCACTTCTTCAGATGCAAGTCTGAAGTTTAAAGGTGTTAGTAAACCAAGTAAGAAATTCCAGGGTGTTTTTAATGAAATTGATGTGCCTCCAAAAGAAATAAAAAATTTACTGGCACTGTCTGCTCAGACTTGTTCTACAGAACAAGTTATCCTGCTTTCTAATTGTGTTGCCAGAAGAGTTGCTCTCAGTTAAGAAATTGTGGTTTACAAAACTGACATGAGAAAAATGTCTGTCACAATGACAAGAGAATTTAGGAACAAATTATTTTCTTTTAAAGCAGTTACTTTACATTATGGAATCTAGGTTAAAAAAATTCTTAGAAAATGTGGATTAAACAGTGTCATGTATGATCACAATGTACAAACTCAAAATTACTTTGAACTTGTACTTCTCTGGATTGTGAAAGTATTGTTTTTAATAGGTAAGGCAGAGTTATTGGGATTTTTTTTTCTGTATCCAATTTTGAACCAGATTCTGCCCTGATCTGCAGTTGACTGTTGAAGTTAAAATGATTGCATGGAGTGTAATCGGGGCAGACTTTGGCCCTTAGTGGGGGGTTTTTTAGGTTGTCTTTTTCATTGTTAACTTTGTCTAATTTTTGTATCCCTCCTCACATAGAGGTTACCTGTGGTTGTTGTGTTTGCTTGTTTGTTTTTGTTTTTAAAACAGCTCTTTCCTCTAGCCCACAGGGGTATTATAGAATCAGGTATAGATGATGAGATCTGGATGGAAAACGAGCTGTGTTTACACTAGGATGTTGTGTTCTTGTGCAGGAGTCAGGTCCACCCAAGCCCTGTTGTGGTTAGCTGATTATTATTTACAGTAGGGTGGTGCCCAAAGTCGGTTAGGTGCTATACAAACATATAGGGTTCAAAAAAGAACTAGATAAATTCATGGAGGATAGGTCCATCAATGGCTATTACCCAGGACGGGCAGTGATGATGTCCCTAGCTTCTGTTTGCCAGAAGCTGGGAATGAGCGACAGGGGATGGATCATTTGATGATTCCCTGGTCTGTTCATTCCCTCTGGGACCCCTGGCATTGGCAACTGTCAGAAGACAGAATCTATTTCCCCATGATAATTATTTTCACACCTCTTGTCAAATTGTCTGTAATGGGCTATCTTGATTATCACTACAAAAGTTTTTTCTCTTCATTAAATTAGCCTCTTAGAGTTGGTAGGACAACTCCCACCTTTTCATGTTGTGTGTGTGTGTGTGTGTGTGTGTGTGTGTGTGTGTGTGTGTGTGTGTATATATATATATATATATATGTGTGTATGTATACACAATCTCCTTACTATATGTTCCATTCTATGCATCTGATGAATTTGTTAGTCTCTAAGGTGCCACAAGTACTCCTGGCAGAAGACAGGATACTGGACTAAATGGCCATATTGGGTCAGACCAAAGGTCCATTCTTAGGAGGCGATGGGTTCTGGCCTTTAAAACCTTACAATGTGAAACAGCAGCCCTCTTTCCCCTCTCCTCCCCAAAGTAGAGTGACCAGATAGCAAGGATGAAAAATCCGGATGCGGGGTGGGAGGTAATAGGAGCCCCTATAAAAAAAAAAGCCCCAAATATCGGGACTGTCCCTACACCATCGGGACATCTGGTCACCCAACCCCAAGGGTAGGTGGGGTGGAAGGAATACAACATCCGAGCACTGTGGGCAGGGGGCTGGTCAGTGCCCAGTGTAAGCCTTATACTGTTTACAGGTTTCAGAGTAGCAGCCGTGTTAGTCTGTATCCGCAAAAAGAAGAACAGGAGGACTTGTGGCACCTTAGAGACTAACAAGTTTATTAGAGCATAAGCTTTCGTGGGCTACAGCCCACTTCTTCGGATGAGCTGTTTACAGGTATGACCCCTCCTGAATTCCCACGTTTTATCAGCAGGGCCCATCCCCTCGCCGGGATTCTTGCTGTCGTTTTCGTTCCTTGTTCACCAGTGTGTCCCCGAAATGTTTAAAATCCCAACGGGGGCCCTGGAGGGGGGGTCGCTAAAGTGTGAGCCCTGACGCTGTGACCGTGTTTAGAGCTCACCTTTGCCTGTCTCAAGAGCCAGGCCCCAGCCCCGGTATGGGGGCAACGAGCCCCAGCCAGGGCCGCTGCGGCCCAACCCCGAGCGCAGCGCCGGGGCCGCTCCCGCCGCCCGCTCGGGGGTGCAGCCCTAAGCCGCGGGGGCGTCGCTCCTGTCCGCCCGCCGGGTGCCTGCTGCAGCCCGGCCCCGGCCCCGAGCGCTGGGGCAGCCTCCCCGCTCCGCCTCCGCCTCGGTTGCCCCGGAGACCCGGGTAACACAGAGGCCTAGCACCGCCTCAGGCCGGCCTGGCTCGACGGGGGGACGCCCCCGGGGCCCTAATGCCCGCAGCGGCCTCGGCAGCGCTGGTGAGTGGGGAGCAGCAGGGCCGCTCGTGCTGCCCCGGGCTCTGTGTGGGGGGCGGGGGGCGGCCCAGCCCCAGGGGCTATTGCAGGGACGGGACTCCCAAAATGGAGCAGGCCCCCTCTGGCCTGAGGGGCAAGATGCCCAGCGCCCCCACTGGTCCCCTTGGGGCCCTGCCACCCCCGCTCGGCAGGGACCCCACTGACCCCAGCACGCCCTTGTGCCAGGCCGCCACTGACCTCAAGGAGACACCAGGCCCCCTCGTGCCCGGCTCCCACTGGCACGGCCTGTCTCCTTCGGCTCAAACCCCGCTGATGTGGGGGCCCCCTCGTGTAGTAATCCCACTAACTCCACCGCCTGCATTGTGCAAGGCTCCCACTGCCCCCATGGAGCTCCACAGGGGTGCCAGGCCAGCTCCCTCCCTGCCTCCCCTGTGCAAGGTGCCCACGTACCCAAGAGACCCATGTAGGTGGCAACCCTCTTGACTCCAAGGGCCTTGTGGAGAGGAACCCTGCCCTGTGCTAAATCATCGGCTCTGGGGAGGATAAAGTTTTGTTTCTGAGACTCACTGGGGCAGTACGGTACAGGCTGTTCTGTGGGTGGGCTAGGAATCTGCCAGGGACAGAGGCTGCAACTTTACACAGAGGGTTAAAAAATACTTGCGGTCGTGTGTGTGAGAGCCAGCATATCGCCACACAAACAACTTCAAAACTAAGGCCTGGCCTATGCACAGTTTATGTACAGGTGCAACTATATTTGGTAGGGGTGTGATATAGTTATACTGGTCAAACAGCTAGTGTGGACAGTTATACCCATACAAAGATGCCTTATTCTGTTATAAATTATTATTCCACTTCCTGATAGGAATAAATTGTCCTGGTATAAGCACATTTATACCAGTATAGTTGAATCCCCACTAGGGGAGTTGTACCATTTGAATTATAGTTAGAGCAGGACAATTGAGTTAAGGTTGACAGACACCAATGCAAACCGTAAAAAGCAAAGAAATAAGCAATTTAGGGATTCATCACCATGTTCTGCTTGCTAGTTTCCCTTCTCACCCTTGGTTATTGCCCTTCTACTACCCAAAACCCAGAATTCCCCCCACATTATCCTGAGCCAATGGCTCTCAACCTTTCCAGACTACTGTGCCCCTTTCAGGAGTCTAATTTGTCTTGTGTACCCCAAAGTTTCCCCTCACTTAAAAACTACTTGCTGACCAAATCAGACATAAAAATACAAAGGTGTCATAGCTCACTATTACTGAAAAATTGCTTTTACTTTCTCATTTTTACCATATAATTATAAAATAAATCAATTGAAATATAAATATTGTTTTCTACATTTCAGTGTATAGTATGTAGAGCAGTATAAACAAGTCATTGTCTGTTTGGAATTTTTGTTTATATTAAGTTTGCTAGCGCTTTTTATTTAGTCTGTTGTAAAACGAGGCAAATATCTAGATGAGTTGATGTACCCCCTGGAAGACCTCTGTGTACCCTCAGGGGTATGTGTACCCCTGGTTGAGAACCATTGTCCTGAGGAACCAATGGCCCCTTGAACTCTGACCACTTTTCTGTAGAAACTTGAGATATAGCCCTCCCTTGCAGGTACACATATCCTAGAATATCCTCTCTCCACATGATTTTTGCATGATTATGTATCCCTTGGACTCAACATGAGCTGCTACCCTTCTGCTTTTCCACAGTCTCGTGAGAGGAAGTGAGGCAGCACCGATTCCTAAACCATTCTCTCTGCTTTCCAGCAATGGATCCAATGATGGTGTATTAGGTTAGTGCATGTAGCTAGCTTTACATGTGGAGACCTTAATAGGTCTGCATGCCCTCTGTCAAATTATACATATTGAACTCTGCTGCACTCTCAATATTTGTGGTGTAATTTTCAGTATCATAGTGCAGGCTTTTCGAATGACATGTAGCTTTAGTTTGTTTGCTAAGTGCTGTTATTCTCATTCCTGGCTATAGATATAAAAGGTATGTTTGTATATAGTGGAATGCAAATGAATAGTTTCTCCAGTGCTTCTTGAACAGAGGATTTGTGATAGGCTACGCGGGCAAATGGTTATTGGAGAACCTTGTTAAAATATTGGTAGCACATCACTGATGACCTGTGAAATGCATTTCAAAATGATGTGCAGAACTTATACCAGCAGAAATGTGAGTTCTGTGCATAGAGCACTTGCAGGACTGAACGCAAAGTTTTAAAGCAGAATTGGTATTTTACAGATGAAACTCACTGTGGGAAGTAGTCATCTTTTTTGGTGTGATGTCAGCTGCATAGGATACCAATTTTGCAGAGGGTACACAAGTTTCTCACCCTGCTGTGAATGTTAGACCTCCTAAAGTGAAACTGTCACCTAGTCTAGGTTGCAAGTGGGGAAACAAATTTACAAAGAAACATTGGTAATGATATTTTTAAAAAGGGAAAAACATTTGCTTGTTTGGATCTAAATATTTTCACCCTGCATGAAACCCAAACATTGCAGCATCTGTGAAAGTGAAATTGACCAGTCTGCAGATGCCTCTCACTCTCAGATAGCATGAATGGTATAAAAAGTAAATTAGATATTTAAAATTCTTTCTGTCTTTGGATGGGATTTGAATTTTAATGGTAAATGGATGTGTAACTCTCTCAGGCTGTCTTGAAAATCAGTTTTAATCTTCTTTCTTTTTTTTTTTTTTAGTTTACACAGGGTAGAGAATTTGTCTTTAATTTTAAATTCAATCTGACAGCATCCCTGTAAATAAATTATGATATTTCTTCCATGTTATTTGATACTGTTCATTTGAGCTATTCAAAATGTTTTGACTGGAATAATTGCAAAAGTGCATTGGATAACACTTAGAAAATGAGTTTTTTAAAAATAAAACCTTACAGGTAAAAAGAGGAGACAATGAAAGCCTTTTTAAAAAGTTCAGATGGTGTTTTTATGCTGAGATCAAAAGTAACTACTATAGGAAGACATGAAGATTCAGATCTTGTTCTGAAGGTATGAGCATAACATTTATTTTCATTATTATTCTTTACAGCACTTACTCTTACTTAACTTCATTACCCCATTTATAATAATTCCAGTCTTTCTTAGTCAGCAGTGGTTTATTTGATTTCATTTAGAGCCACAGGGATAAAATGGCAATTAGAGAACCTGTTTAAATATTTAAGTTAGACAACCAAAAGAGAGAGGAATTATTTGATATGGATTAGGGTCATATAACATGAAGCAACAGCCGGTAACTAAAAAAAGGAAAACTTAACATAGACATTAGGAACCACCAGTTCAATTAGACAACTCAATAATTTGCCAAGGAGGTTGCTTAAGCACCATCATTACAGGTGTTCATACATGAACTAGCTAAAACACTTAGAAAAGGATAGGGTATTAGAGAAAATAATGCCTCATTAGTGCTAGGGACTAGATCCAGAGCCCATTGAAGTCAATGGGAATCTTTCCTTTGACTTCGGGGTGCTTCGAATCAAGCCCTATGTGAATAAGGGTTGGATCAAAATGTCATTTTACAGCTGTTTCATCTGTGATTAAGTTTAAGATCACAATTAAAAATAGTTCCTTTTCTTGAAATTAGTTTGCTAAAAAACACAGATGTGTCTACACGGGAGCGTTTTTAAGCCATGAGCATACATTAGGGGTATTGTACACTCAAGTGTACCACACCCAAGTTAGTCAACAAAAGAGCCAACTGAAAACAGTCTGCACCTTCATACTCAAAAGTGATCTAAATAGTGTTTGTTTATTTAGAACACACACGGAAATATATGTAGTAGATCTTAATGTTGGTACTATTTAACACTTGTATATTAGCACTCTACAGTAAGTGTCAAGGATGCTTTACACTACAGAGAGAAAAAAAGACAGGTTCTTGCTCCAAGTAGCTTACAATCTAGGGTCCTGATACTGCAAACATTTGCATATGTGAGTAGTAGTCCCACTGAGTTCAATGGAAGTACTAAATGTGCAAAGTTACTCGTGTTTTAAGTGTCTGTGGTATTGGGGCCTAGGTTGGATATGAAACAATATGCTATAGAGAAAGATCACAAGAAGCAAGGGGGAGGGGAAAGTTCTTAATTTGATACCTTCATTATTATCATATGCATCTATCTGTAACATCAGTTATCCATTTTTATTGCTGTGATCTGGTATATTTTGGTACCTATTCAGATGACCTGTCTGACTTATAAAATGCAAAAATGTGAAGCTTTAAAAAAAAAATCTAGCCATTGAACAAAATAAAAAAAAATACTGTATCTTGCATAATAGATGAGCAATCAGCAGCCATTTTGACTACCTCTGAGCCAAAACATATTATGGTATGATATTAGCCAGATGAGACAAAGCAAAATAAATCCCAGCAAAATCCCCATTGCGATCCATAACTCTGGGAAATTCTTTGCACTGATTTCTGAAACTGTTATCCAATTTCAGTCTGTAGGTATTGAAGATCATCATGCAGTCATTGAATTCAGCGATTCAGAAAACAGCTTTGTTCTTCAAGATTTCAACTCTCTTCATGGCACTTTTGTTAATGATTGCCATATACAGAATGCAGCAGTGAAAGTGGGTGCAGGGGATATTCTGCGCTTTGGTTCAGGAGGAACATCCTATGAGCTAGTGATAGAAAACACTTCTCAGGTAATGTCCCAGGAGTAGATAATATCTTCCTATTTTGTAAAGTAGCTGCATATGAATGTCTGCTCCAGGGGTAAAATTCTGGACCCTTTGAGGAGTTTTCACCCAAGACCTTTTAGAAATTCCTTTTTTAATTAATTTGTTCACCCTCTTATGCTAATGTAAGAATAATGCAGAGTGGAACCTGACAGATGTGTAAAATCTAGAATTGAGGAATGGACAACACTCCTTATTTATAAAAATAATTATATTGATACAAAGAATGGAGTTAAATGTTTGGTAAAAAATGGGCTGAAATTGCTGAAGTCTGACTGGATTTGTTAATCATGTGACTATACCAAATTACCATTTCCTTGGTCCTATTCAGGACCTCCTTTCTCAGGTAAATCTCCCTTTGACATCAAGCTACAGTGCGGAATAAGGCTCCAATAGCTATGTATTTGGTTACATTTAAAACCCAAACATATTACTATATTAATATACCAGAAAAATAAAATCTAAAAAATTCTGCTTATTTTATTAGTTTTTTCCCTCTCTCACGTTTCTCCCTCTTGTAATTTCTGCATTTCTGGTCCTTTTTTCCATCCCTCACCTTTCTAGTTCTCAGTATTATTATGTACTAGAGGGTCACTCACAAGGGGCTCCTTGCATACTTCCATTTCTCACTCCACAACTCTCTGTGTGCTGTCTTCCCATCCTCCTCTGTTTCAGGGACTCTGTGCTGCTTCTGCCATCACCAGAGGATCTGTGTGCCTCCCATTTCTCCTGTTCTGCCATTGCAGGTTCCCTCATTCTCCCCCACACAAACCAGTGGCTCTGGGTTTATCTCCATTTTCACTTCCCCATATGCCCTTCATCCCCCCTCCTGCCCCGCGCTGCCTTTTCCCCCATGGCAGGGAGTCTATATGCTTCTCCTTCTTCCACACTGGCTCCATCAATTCCCCACCACCAGCATCAGAGGCCCTGTGCACTATGGCAATTTGGGGCTCTGCCCTGCCCCCTTTCTGGCCCTGTTTGTTTTTTCTGGTGGCTGAGGAACTCCCTGAGATGGGAGCCCTGTGCAAGTGCATACAGTGCATATTGGTTAATCCAGGCCTGCCACTAAGGGCTCTGTGTGCCCCTCCATTATGCTCCCATTGTGCTTGGTGCTGTACAAACAGCACAAAAAGATGGTCCATGCCCAAGGAGCTTCTTTTCTTTTCCTTCTGTTTTTTCCCCTCATCCTCTTTGCATGTTCCATGTTCCCCTTCTCTGATACTCACTTCTTTAGCTAGTACAGTGGGTGTACTTTAAAGGGTTCTATTGGATTGAGAGACATTGCCAGTTCCAGCTGTATATCCTGTTTTAGGTGTAGGTAGGGCCCTACCAAATTCACGGCCACGAAAAACACATCATGGACCGTGAAATCTGGACTCCCACTGTGAAATTTGGTCTTTTGTGTGCTTTTACCCTGTACTATACAGATTTAATGGGGGAGACCAGCGTTTCTCAAATTGGGGGTCCTGACCGGAAAGGGAATTGCAGGAGGGTCAGAAGGTTATTTTAGGGGGTTGCAGTATTGCCATCCTTACTGCTGCACTGCCTTCAGAGCTGGGTGGCTGGAGAGTGGCAGCTGTTGGCCAGGCGCCCAGCTCTGAAGACAGCGCCTCGCCAGCAGCAGCGCAGAAGTAAGGGTGGCAATACCATACCATGCCATTCTTACTCTGCGCTGGTGCTGGGGGTGGTTCTGTCTTCAGAGCCGGGCTCCCGGCCAGCAGCCGCTACTCTCCAGCCACCCAGCTCTGAAAGCAGCGCCCTCACCAGCAGCAGTGCAGAAGTAAGGGTAGCAGTACCACAACACCACACACACACAATAACCTTGTGACCCCCACACTCACACTCCTTTTTGGGTCAAGACCCCTACAGTTACAACGCCATGAAATTTCAGATTTAAATAGCTGAAATCATGAAATTTACGACTTTTAAAATCGTATGACTGTGAAATTGACCAAAATGGACCATGAATTTGGTAGGGCCCTAGGTATAGGGCATGCATCTCAAACAGAGAGACTTTTTTTCTTTTTCAAAAAGTCAGCATAGCTAGATATGGTATGGAGACAAGTTGTTTTCCATTTGAGAAGCCTTCTCTCTTAAAAGCAAGGGGAAAATGTTCATGGATTTATTGAGAGGGAATAGGAAAATAAGAGGTCTCTAGCTCCATCTGCTGCACAATCTCAGGCACTTCACTGAGAGGTTGTAAAACCTCCTGGATTTTTCTTCTACAACTGCACTAGGGACAAGAAAAGTTAAGCCTCTAGAAAACTCAGAAATATTTCCAGTTTGTCTGATTCTTCTTTAGAAGTACAGAGTATCCAAACTGGAAACTTCCCTTTTCAAGTTGTGTTTTCAAAAGTTAAATGGTAAAAATAACAGATTATAAAAACGGTTACCTTTTTAAATTTGTGCTTAAAAGCAATTTGATCCTTTTTCAAACTCAAAAGTATACCTGGATTATATGTGATTGCGTTATTAGCAATAGTATCATTCATGTCCTTAGCATGAGACAGGCATCCAGCAAAGACACAATGTCACACCACAACTCTTGAACACAGTATAAAATAAAAGCATTCACATATATAGGAAATGACATTTTAAAAGGTAGTACTCCTGTCACGGGACAGTCAGCTAGTATCACTAAGATTTCAGGCAATTTATATGGGAAGGAATTGATAAGAACCCGTAAGACTTTTATTGCTCTGGGTCTTGAACATCTCAAGAAACTGGAGATCTAGAAATCTGCCTTGAATAGGATAAAAAACAAACTGATAGATTCAGGCTTGTCTTTGGAGACATGCCTCCAGAATGTGGGGAGGAGTGCTCAAATGCAGCAAATAGCAAAGGATATCGCAATAGTTTGTATTCCCATATTGCAAACACAGAAATGCTGCACTTCAAATAAATAGTCAAGGCCCAACTTTCCAAAGTGGGTGACTTAATGGGGTGACATATTCTATCACTCAGACTAACATTGGGCACACAAAATGCACATTTATATTAACACTTTGCACCGTTATAACTCCATCACAGTATCTTAAAGTGCTTTACCAACATATAATAATTAAGCCTCATATGCCCCCTGTAAATTAAGGAAGCATTACTTCTATTGTACGGGTAGGGAAACTGAGGCAGGGAGCTGTTCAGTGACCTATCCAAGGTCGCAGAGTGAATCAGTGGAAGAGCCAGGAGCAGAATCCAGAAATTCTGGTTCTCAGTCCTGTGGTTTAAGCACTAGGCTACATTTCCTGTACATAAATTAGATGGTAAATTCTTCTGGGCAGGGACTGGGATTATCACTGTTGTGTGCAGAGTGCCAAGCAAAATTAAGCCATGATCCTGGGCCTCCGAGCACCACCTCAGTACAGATACAATAGTCTGTGAGTGCCAATTTGAGTAGCTGGATGCAGATTTTGGATGTCCTAGCCTAGTTTAGTAGTTTGGACTCCTCTCCCCAAAGATACACAGAGTGCTGATAACTGAGGAGAAAATCCTGATTTTAGGTGGTGAAACCAACTTTATGAACTGATGCAGTTAGAATTCCAACACTGTGGCAGAAAAACTGTTTACATAAAGTTTGTCCACACCAGAACATCAGGCATTTTCATTTAAAAAATATTTTATGTACAATACATACTGACACAGAAACAGCACAACATGCCTTTTTGAAGCTTCAGGCTTTATGATTCCTTTTTGATATAATAGCTTTGATGTTTGACATTGCTCACTGTAGAGGGTAAATCATGGTTAAGTTTCAGTGCACCAAGTATTTGTATATATATAAAAAGATGATTTCCCCCTTTTTTTTAGTATTAAAGGTGAAACAGTTTTTTAATTATAATTGTATAAAATGTTAAATTATTCAATCCTGAACAAAACAAATGCGTAGCCCTGAAATTACAAATACATTTTAAAGGTAAGTAAAAGCCTTTTTTTTAACCTGTCAAGATCTGAGCATCACAAACACCTATACAGAGTGAGGAGCTGCATTCATAATGCTGCTTTAGGTGTGTGTGTGATGTTATCAATTCTTGCAGGAGAAACATTGGACCCTGAAATTGGGTCTGGGCAGGTAAGTAAAAGAGGACATTATTTTCACATTGTTTGCTTCAGATTTTATTTATAAGTTTTTAATTCATTCATGCATTCTGTTTAAGACTTAGGATCTTTTTTGTATGTATTTTTAAAGTATTTCAGTTCACCTTAAGTGAACCCAAAGTGACCAGCCATGTCCTTTTTCTCCACTGTTAGTTATTTAAGGGGGACTGTGGGGAGGGCAAAGTCACATTCTGCTGGTATGTATTATCTTATTATGTAACCTTCCTTTGCCTGAAAGAATTTTAGGTACCTATATTGCCACAGTGTCACAGAGCAAAAGATAAACTCTGAGGAGTCAATTGCTAACGCCTCAGTGGTAAACAGATTTAAAAGAATAAAACAGACAAAATATTGTTTGTTTCCCAAAGTGGTTATATTTTTCCAGCTGCAGGTAGGCCACAATCAAGAGATTGTTTGAGTCCAGCCTCTTTCTTTGCTTGGAAAATCAGCGTATTCCAGTCATGTAGTGCAGACCGGTATCCAAAAAGGATGGTGTTAAAGAATGATGGTTGGCAGAATACTGAAGTCCAGGGAGCAATATTAGCTTTTGCCTGAAAACTTGGGTGGCTCCATAGAGAGATACCTGGCTCACCCTTTCTGTGGAAGGATACTAGTGTGATATGACCAAAGCACTTGATTTCATGGGCCACACAGCTGATAAACTCAGGCTCTCCCCTTTCCAAATTCTGGGACTTGTCCGGTAGCAAGGGGAGTGTTGTACTGCATGCTTACTGGTTGCCAGTGGGGTCATCCCTTTGTGGAAGGTCCAGCTTCTTCTAGAGATGGGTCAAGTTAGCAGTGTTTAGTTGTGGCTCAGGATTAGGGTTGGGTTCAGGTTTAATGCTGAACCAGGGAGATGGTTTGGATAGGATGGGTCATAGCTCACAAGCCTTTGGCAGTTTTCATCAGAATTCATTCACAACCAAACTGGAAACTAGACCTCTCTTGATTTTGGATCTGACCCAAGATTGAAACCACAGGTCAGGTTTGTATTCCAGGGCAGGAATATAAACCCACACCCTGAAATTAAAAGGAATTGGAATTCAAAGCTTCAGTTTTGGCTCATCTTTACAACAATTGAAAGATGCTCTTAACAACAGATGAGCATGCGGTGCCCTACATAATTTCTCTGACATGTAGGGCTATCAGGCTGGAAAATCTGATCTCAAGCCAGGTGTCCTCATGGAGATAGCCTTTGTTTCAGAATACCAAATGACAGATTAAGATAGGGGTTCTCAAACTGAGGGTCATGAACCCTCGGGGGTTGTGAGGTTATTACATGGGGGTCGCGGGCTGTCAGCCTCTGCCTCCAAACTCCGCTTTGCCTCCAGCATTTATAACAGTGTTTAATATAAAAAATTGTGTTTTTAATTTATAAGGGGGGTCACACTCAGAGGCTTGCTATGTGAAAGGGGTCACCAATACAAAAGTTTGAAAACTACTGAAGAAGATAGCCTCCAGTTTAGTCTCCTGTCCGCACCACAGGGTTGTTGCTCACAAACCATTCACTTAATCACTTTATTTGGCATAGTTCCCTTCATTCAGTTACCCCAGGTTACAAACTTTTATTCAGTTTCTCTGAACATGGGTTTCCATCCATTGTCTCAGAGTGAAACTTTGCCAAAATGCCAGGGTTTTGGGTTGAAATCATGCAGACCAATGGTTTCCACATGAAACCATAACTCAACCGCAAGCTCTATGAATACCTAGCCAGATTTGCCTCCAAAGATCCACAAACTTGATATGATTGGTACAGTATTGTTTGTGTAAAGGAAATTTGTGCTTTGTAATCTACTAGAATTCTTAAATCTTGTCAATAATATAATGGATACAGGAGAACCAGTTTGACTTTTACAAAGCCTTTGGCAAAATTCTGCGCAAGAGTTGATTAAGAAACTCAGACCTCAGCCAGGTAGGCACTTAAGAACATGCCTAACTTTAATCACATGAATAGTTTGATAGACTTCATTTTAGTTGTCATCATAGCAAAGTGTGCCAACGGAGCATCGGAATGAGTTTTACTAGTATGGATGTACAGATATTAACGTATGATCTGGAAAAGAGGTGAATCAAGAGGTGGCAGATTTTATAGATGACAATAGTTTATGTTATCCAAGTTTAGAGATGACTGTGAAGAACTACGGAAAGACCAAACAAAGCTAAGTGATTAGGTAGCTTGATGAAAGATGAAATTCAAAGTTGAAAATGGCAAGGTAATGCAGGTTGATTTGAATTTTTCTTCTATTCATACATGTTGCTGGGTTCTGTATTAATATATAACATACACACACTGTAGTAAGTAATTTTTTTCCCATCCTCTGTACAAGATTGCATTTTTTCCTCCTGCAGATGTCTTGCCCACCAATGAAACGTGACATAGCATGGCCGGGGCAGTTGCAGTTAATTTCAGAGACAAAACTTTATACCCCTTCAACAGCTCCTCCTCAGCTTCCTTTCCTCCAGTCTCAGCACCCATCCAGCGTTCACAACAGTTGGATGCATGGAACAAATGGAACTACACCCCATCCACCAAACAGAAAAAGACCTGTGAGTGCTTGGGGGAGAAGTATGACTTCTTCTTTCTCTCCAGATACTTTCAATAGGCCTACTGCAGTCAGACAAGGTATTTCACGGTGCTTTCATTAACCCTTTATATAGCATTGCACAATAGTAAAGTTGATCATGACTTCCATGAAAAATGATGTTTTTTTCACACGTATCTACTTGTCAGTCTATAGAAGGATTGTCAGATACTGGGACCAATTCTCCTCTCACACTAGTTTCACAGTGATGTAATTCCACTGACTTTGGTGGAGGTATTTCTGATTTACATTGGCAAGTGACAGGAGAATTAGGCATGCAGACCCAATCCGATGGAGTTGTTGCATTGTCTTCAGTGGGCATTAGATCAGGTTCATAGTATAGAATTGCTGTTTGTTAAGCAGTGTATTGATTAGCTCAGCTTTGAGGTGAAATTTGCTTGAACATTTTCGTTATATGTGAAAGTATAACAGTGTTGCAAAAAAAAGCGAACATCATTCTGGGATGTGTTAGCAGGAGTATTGGAAGCAAGACATGAGAAGTTCCGCTCTGCTCCATGCTGATTAAGCCTCAAGTGGAGTATTGTGTCCAATTCTGGGTGCCACATTTCAGGAAAGATGAGGACAAATGGGAGAAAGTCCAGAGAAGAGCAACAAAAATGATTAAAGGTTTAGAAAACATGACCTATGAAGGACAAGTGAAAAAATTAGATTTTTTTAGACTGGAAAAGAGAAGACTGAGAGGGAACATAACAGTTTTCAAGTACATAAAAGGTTGTTGCAAGGAGGAGGGGAAATTGTTGTTCTTAATGTCTGAGGATAGGACAAGAAGCAATGGGCTTAAATTGCAGCAAAGGAGGTTTAGGTTTGACATTAGGAAAAACTTCCTAACTGTCAGGGTGGTTAAGCAGTGGAATAAATTGCCTAGGGAGGTTGGGGGATCTCCATCACTGGAGATTTTTAAGAGCAGGTTAGACAAACACCTGTCAGGGATGGCTTAGATAATATTTAGTCCTGCCATGAGTGCAGGGGACTCTGGACTAGATGAGCTCTCGAGGTCCCTTCCAGTCCTATGATTCTGTGAAAGTGTAACTTGCTCTGTTACTACTTACTGTGTTTTCCATTGGTGATACATTCAACTGTTACATCTGTTGGTTGGAGTAACTTTGTTTTCTCTTTTGATCTGTGGTTATCAGCTGTTTTCATTGGGAGTGAGTTAAAAATAAAGCCATATCTTGCATATATTTTCTAAGTGTAAAGAACAGGACAATGTCATGGCTAAGGAAAGGTTCTAGAGGTTTAAACCCAAATACAACTGAAAAAGCTGAACTTCATTTTTAACCATAGTTGGCATATTATATAAGAATTTGCATGCCAGCAAATTTTAGGGCCATATGATAGGACTTGGTAATGTCCCTAACTCTACTGTAGTCCCTAACACCATAGCATGACATAAATCAAATATTTATTTTTCTTATTCTTGTTTTTATACATATAGCAATACATTTCAATTTGATGTTTAATCTTTTGTATCTAAATGTTTCAGACAAAAAAGCATTGCTGCACAATCATGCCAGCACAACAGAAAAGCAGTGATTGAGGAAAACACTTAAGCATGTGTTTAACTGAATTTTTAAGTTCATTGAAGTTAATGGGACATAAGCACATGCTCAGAGCTAAGTGTATGCTTAAGTGTTGGACTGAAGCTTAAATGCTTTTCTGAATCGGGGTCAAAAGGATCCATATTCTGTATTTCATAATGTTATAGGTTATATAGTCATAGTTATTGATATGCCATATGTCATAACATTATAGCTAGTATATGCATAGTTATTCAATGTTGCATATTCAGAAAAACATTCAGACATTATATCTATGCCTCCACTTGAGGATTTTTATCTTGAAACTATATTATACTTCACTGATTATATAGTTTGTTTATGCCTGTGAATGTCATTTATTATAACATTTTGTTATTATTCTGCAATTGCTTGGATAAAGTGCATAGGTACTAAAATGATGGTTGCTTTGGAAATGCTTGTAGACAAACTAGGGAGATAGAGATGCATTCATCCTAATCAGAACAGGCTCTTGTGTTGAATTTCTGTGCAAGTCATTAGAAGCCCCTTTTATTTTTTATATTCAATCTTGACAAATGTACCAGGAAATGGACAATCTGGAGCAAGTGGAGTTCCATTATCAGGAAGTCATCATATGGATTTACTTCTTCAGGAAAAGGTGATGTATGAATGTGACATGGAGGTAGATCACAGAAACATTGTTTATATCAACAGGAATATATTGAAAGCAGATAGAGGGATTGGTAGGCAAACAAAGCAGAAATGCTATACAAATAGGGTCTTTAAATGACTAATAGTAAAATTCCCTTCACCCACATCACTGTAGAGTAACTGATTTTGAATGGGACTACACACGAGTGAAAATTACTATATGGACAAAGGAATGAGATGTCTTGGAGCTAGTGAATTTCAGGGTGAGGAAATGTAAGATAGCAAATGTGAGTATCTGAAATTCTGTTTTAAAGTTGTTGGACTACCACTATATTTTAATAATACTAGAATGAGCAAGTGTAGCATTTTGGAGACAGAAAATTAATCATAAAATAAAATAATTTGAAAGCCTTTTTTGGAACAGGCGCAATGTTGTATCCCCATTTGTGTATAATATTTAAATTTATTCTGCATGTAGGATGAAATAATTCTGAAAATGAAAGATGAAATCAGTCATCTCTTGGGTTTTGAAAGTGAGTCAAAACATAAAGATACAGTGATAGCCAATCTTCAGGATGAAATTGCAGTGATGACAAAGAAGATGGCTCAGGCTGCTAGGAATGATGTCGAGTTTACTCAAAAACTACTGACCTTTGAGCGAGATATTGAAGCAAAGACGGAGGAGATTAAAGCCTTGAAAGAGCAGGTATTGAACTCTTAAAGGGACACTGTCAGCTTTAATCAGACTCCTCTGTGAATTTTTATTTTTTTTAACTAACAATTGTTGCTAGAAACAAAAGAGCTTAGAGGAGAAAAAGGGGTTGTTGTTTTTTTCAGTTTGTTCACCTCTTTGACAACCCTTTGTATATAGACACTTTATAGACAGCTTCCCTATTTGTTTGTGTGTGTCTTTCATACAGCAACAGGAGAGAGAAAACATTTTTAAAATATGGAACTCTGATTGAAAAGCTATATAAATTGGGAGGGTGACTGGAAGGCATGTATAATATCTGAAACTACTTTTAACACATTTTTATGTTGACTATATTTCAAGTTGACAGTGTCCCTTTTAAGCTCTGTGGTCATGTGAATGCACACAATGATAAAGAGCAAGAAAGGAGCAATACTTAAAATCTGATACATAAACAGAATTATTGCTATACAAAGCGTTGGTGATTGTTTTCCATGAGTTGTCAGCAGCTCTGGTTTTGTATTATGTTGAAGACGATATATTGCAGGTAGAGCTGCACACTCCCGCAGTGGGCTCCTTCAAACTACTTATCCCCTCTGAATTAGGCTCATGAAACCAATTATTTTAACAATGGGAAATTTATATTTTGTCCCTTATTATCTCTTTGGCCATGATATGAAAAAGTAGACTGCAAAGTTTCATCTTCACTCATGACAGCCAGGAAGTAATGTGTTTGATCTTTATTTGCATTAGAAAATGCAAATGCCTTCGAGTGCTTTCAGTAAGTTATCATCTGAAATATTTGTTCTTGACAATTAGCTGAAGACTCTAGAAAAAAACACATAAACCAATGACCTTGAAATACTAGCCTTACTCCTCCTGTTGCTATAACTCGGCTCATGATATATAAATCCTTTTGACTTACTCATGCAAGCATCCATGGGGCTGCTCATGTGAGTTAGCTGAGAAGGATCTGTGGTTTGTTTGTTTTTCTGAATGTTTGACTGCTGGAATATTTCAGTAGCAGAGAGACTATTTGACTTTTGTTTGTGCTTAGAGTAATCATGGCTGAACCCTGTTCAGTTTGGATAAACTCTCAGGTTTGAATATTTGTCTAAACTATTCAAACCACTCAGGTCTGCAGAATTGGGATGGAGATCTTGGAAAACAAGTTCACAAATGAAGGTTTTCATGCATTTTTCCCAGTTGGAAATATCAAGTCAAGTTTATTAATAGCAACTTAGCCATTGTTCAATGCACAAAAAATAAAATGTAGTACAATATATATCCAGAATTATATTTAAAATGTATGTACAAACAAATTAAAAAGAACAAAAAACAATTAAACCATATATAATCACCGTTCCACTTGCCTTTTCCTTATTCTAATGGCTGACCATGCAAATAGGGCAACTGCTTGAATCACAGATACACTGTCAGTTCCTAACAAATATTCTGTTTTCTAGAAACAGGCATCTGGGACAAAAACACAGAAAGCCATTTTGACCTCAAGTGGCAGTACAAATTACAAAATCATAAGTAATGGGGTAGGTCTTCCATCTACCCAAAGCCCCATGGACAGAAGTGATTACATTTCTCAGTGCCATATATCAGACTTTTAAGTTAGCCATCTGCATAGGATTGAAAACAGAGAGCTGTAAAGGCCCTCCTTAACTTGCTATTGGACAGACTGTCTAAATATCTGGCATATCCATGGAGTTGGAAATGTAGCAAGAACACTTTTCTCATAGCAGCTTTTCATCACGACTGAATTGGGAAGTATAGACATGAGTGTATTTGACTAATTTAAACAAAAAGCCATTTAACCTATTTCAAATCTCAAAACAAGTTTGGTTCAAATGCAGAACAAAGATAGAGTTTGTTTGACTTCTGCTGGTTCGCCCTATTTAAGGTGACCAATCATTTATTTTCTTTGCATATCTTTTGTAGATCAGCAATCTGCAGAGAGATTCGAGCCAAGTCTTGTGCCATTCCCTCTCTGAAAGAGACTTAGAAATTGCAAACTTGAAAAAAGAGGGTGAGAAGTTAAGGAGGAATCAAGCTCTAACTACAGGTATATTTCCTCTGGCATCTCAGGTAGTGTACTTTAACATGCAGTTTTTAGGGCTAGGATCACAGTTAATATAGTTTAGCAATGAAAATGTATACTTGACAACTTTTCTGGCCAGAAATTATTTTTAGTGGCTTTGAGGATCTTCTAAAATTGTTCATCTCTTTTTTCTATTTCATTTTAACCTCTTTGAGGCTTACAGCTTTCTTCTGACAGAAGAACTAGTAGAGTAGAAATAAGGAACTTTGGGAACTAAACCTGGGTGAGTTGTGGGACAGATGGTTTAATTTAAAAAAAAAAAAAAGGAAAGGGAAAAAAACCCTGGAATATAAGGAACTGTTAGTCACTGTAGATCAACCCCTCGGCTGTGTAATCAGTATAGCTCCACTAACTTCAGGGACACTGTGCTGATTTACGCCTACCGAGGATCCGGCCTCCTGTATCCAGTGCTCTGAACATCTTTCAAGGGCTTTGTCTCAGAGTGCAAACCATTTTCCAATTTCCAGCCTTCCTTTATATAATGCTTTAATAGTCAAAATGACTTTAATATTTACACAAAATACTCAGTGTTTTTATTTAACCAGTAGCTAACAATACAGTCCCGTTAGCGAAATCATTTCACTCCATCTCAGTTTTCCAAAAGCAAACAGACTGTTACATTTACTTACACCAGTCCACAGACAATTATCAAAGTTTCAGACCTAAAGATAGTTTTTTCAAGAAAAAAGCTGTTAGAGAATTGTTCTTGCCCAAAGGAGCATATTCTCCAAAGCTTTGAATTCCTTGGGACTAATGGTCACTAAACAACTCCCAGAGTGTATGGACTAAATTTGGATCTGCTTTCAAAACCAGATATTGTTAATATATGATAAATATTTTTTCTTCTTTGGTGTTTATATGATGAGTTTATTGTTTAGCAGGTTTTCGTAACTGAAATGCCGTTGTTTTCTTTGACCTAAATTCTGTTCTTCGCAGGACTGGTGACCAGTTTGCAAAGAGACATTTCAGCAAAGGAGCAGAGAATACTGCAACTAAAACTGAATGCAGATAAACTAAAGAAGGAAAACAGGGAGAAGGATAATCAGCTTGCAGTCATTTCTGCCAAGGTTGACACCCATGCTTATGTGCACTGTTATTTACTATACTGCAAAGGGTTTAGTAAAATAACAACAACAAAATGGACCCAGTTCAACAACTCCACTGATTTCACCAGAGTTATACCAGAGCCAAATTTGGGCCAATAGCTATAGTTTCTGTATTTGTACTGTAGTTTCGTACTAGGCAAGAACTAAGAGTCAGGGAACTGGGTATGTCCTGCCCTCCCAGGACCTTAGGCACATACTTGGGTGGTCGCAACCCATTTTGTTATGGCTTCACTGCTATTGTTACTTGAGCTACCTTTGATTTAGCTAGATTAAAGCTAGCTCAGGTATGTCTACATAGTCTCAATCACACCACCTGATTTCAGTGTTGACATACCAGTGTCTCATTCTTTTATGCCGCACTCCAATTTTGCCTCTGCAGTTTCTGTATCTGTCTCAAATTTAATTCTGCTGTTCATGTGGACGTGATTCAGGATTTTTGTGTGGCTCTGGCACATTGAAATCCCACTTGCCCTGCATGGCGAATTCCACTGAATAGCACTGAGTTCCTGTTAAAAGTACTCTCCCTTACTGCAAGGCAGGTGAAAAACTCAGGCACTAGCCTATATGTCTTTTTTTTTATCCTCCTCCTTCCAATTTTAGCAACAGTGCTTTATTTCAAACAAGTGAAAATCCTTTTCATAGTCAGCATGGTCATCCTCTTCGGGTTCCGTGAACCTCTCCAAGAGCCTTTCAAAGAAAGCATGTCTAAAAGAAGGCTCCCCAAAACCCAGTGTATAAGCTTGTGTTTGCTCACTCTGTTTGCTGTGCTATTCTGACTGCTCTGCTGTTAGGTTGTGGCCATATTAGAGTAACGACAACACAACTATCCGTTCACCAGAGACAATGGTGCCAAATTCAAAATGTTGCTGGCCCCCCACTTAATTGCTTATTGCTGCCTGTCTCCAAATCCAGTTGGGAGCAGCCTACTGATCTTCCTGGTACAAGACTGCAAGAGAGCCATCCTGCATGCTCTGTTCCCTGAAGAGCAAATCAACTGCTCAGCGATCTTCCTAGTTCAGCCTGAGAGAAGAGCTCTGTGGTTCCTCCAGCCGCCTAAGAGGGATAGCATATTCCCTGCCAGGCTGGACACCCTATCAGGAAGCCATGGGGCGGGAAGAAAAGCCCAAGCAGGAGGGAGTAGATTTATTTGTGCATGTGAGCACGCTTGTGTGCAGACCACAAGGAAAGCAAAATCAAACCACTTTGTCAAAATGTGGTGCCTCCTTTTGGTGGTGGAATTGGAGAATTCTGGGATGTGAACAGAGCTTGGGATTTAGGTGGACTTTGGGAGAGTACTACTACCTTTTGGTGGTGATGGTTGTTTAATCTGACCCTTCTCCGAGAGTTCATCTGGCTGCTGTCTCAGCTTTTCATCACAGAGCTGCTTCTTCATCATCATCATCTGGTGTCTGATACTTCCTCAAAGGGCTACTGAATAGGTATCCTCCAGCAGGAGAAATTCTCCCTCTCTCAGAGGGCCTGAATTTGATCCTCATCCAACTCTGGGATCCTATGTTTGAGCCCCTATAAATGGAGCTCATCACCTGTTCTCCCTTAGTGAGTGGTTTTGGTTTTTGTTGTTTGTTTGGTGTTTCCGATTTGATCCAACTCAGATAGAAGTCAATGGAAAGCTGAGCCACATTGCTCACGTATTACAGTGATGAGGGCCAGGTATGTACCTAGCTAGGTTCATTTGTAAAACCAGCAAGTTGCAAGGTGTTTTTATGGATCCCTCTTTTTCAGAGTTCCCGGTTTCCAGCTGTGAATTTTCCTAGACCTTCTCCCTCTGTGGGGTGTGGTGCCATTTCTATGAATCATCTCCTCTGTTTGCTTGTCCAAAACACTTGCATCAGGTTATTTTCAAACCGGGGTTTTCTACTTCTGAGATCCAATCATTGTTCTGTCCCACAGCCAAGCCCACTTCTGATTGTCTTCAATTCTGTTCTTTAAGAAAGCTGCTGTGTGGCTTTTCCTAACCATGTCCTGTACATTTACAAAGATGCTACTCTCAAGCTGTGGTTATACTTCTTGCAAAACAGCTCAATCAAATCAAATTTAGAGCAGATGCTTGATTTTGGTCAGGCTGCATTACAGAATATTGTAACCTAAAACCACACTATTACTTTGTAGTTCCCAAGAAGTGAGAGGAGACCTCAAAAACCTGGCATACTGGATTTTTGTGACCCAAGAAATGTTTACGGAATCCCCACTCGTCCGTCCACGTCCCCTTCATTTCAGATCTTTCCCCCTTAACCTCACACTGAATTGGCTGAAACCCAGCAGGGATGAGTTGTGCAATATGCATATTTCTAGACGAGAAGGAGCAATCAGTGGTGCATGAGAGTGTACTGTTGAGAGTTTGAATGCTGGGGTTTTCCGGAGTACCACAGTGGCATACTTGTAGAATTCCTAAGTAGCAGGCAGCTGTAACAGCAAAATACCAATTCACTATAAGTAACCCAGTTTTCTTGCCTGTAAATGAAGAAATGTATTTCCTCTCCTTTCCTTCTGAGTTACATTTTTTGGATCAGTTTATTCAATTTTAACTTGCAAGGCACAAAGTAGCTGATGGTTGGAGGCATATGACTCAAGGGTTCATTCTGAGAACATCTGAAGTTCTTAAAAATAGCTAGCTCCTAAGTTCCCTGTGTGACTCAATGTGGATACAGTTCCATCACCGAACACAGGAGTTGATGTGCTTAGCAGTTTACAGGAGTCACCCGGCTCCTCTCAGGATCAGCTCTCTATGATTCTGTGTAGCACTACAGAAGGCAGGGATCTTTCATCTCATACAAACTCCACTGCACAAATTCAACACTTCCTTCAAGGTGATGGCATTATAGGGCTGACCCTGCAGGCCATGTTGTGTGAGGTGTTCTTTTCAAACCAGTGAGATTAGTGATGAGACGAAGGGGCTGCAGGATAGAGCTCTAGGGATTGTGAAAAACCAATAGTTGCAAAATGGTGCATTAAATGCAGCCTGTGTTGTGATGTATAGCACTTTACCACCACCCATGTTATCCCCTCAAGTTAATCCCGATAGCAATGTGGATAGAGCAGGGTGATTTGGGGGGGTGGGGGGGCAAACAGTTTATTTATTGAAAAATGCAATTTTGGGTGAGTCAAAACTGTTCACCAAATTGGGTCAAATTCAGCTAA